ATTCCCAGCTCAGAAAGCCTTCCCAGGAGGATACCGTGGTCGACGGTATCGAAGGTGGCTGAGATGTCAAGGAAGACCAATAAGGACACATTGCCCCTATCAGCCTCCCCAAACAGGTCATCCAACAGTGCGACTAATGCCGTTTCTGTACCACAGCACGGACTGAAGCCCGACTGAAATAGGTCCAGGGCATTGGTTTTGTCCAAAAGTGCCTGTAGCTGGTCTGCCACCACCCTCTCCACCACTTTGCTTAGGAAGGAAACATTGGCGACAAGCCTGTAATTTCCAATGTCATCTGCTGCCAAATTTGGTTTCTTCCTAATAGGCCTAATCAGTGTCTCCTTGAGGGCGAGGGGAAACCTGCCCTTCTGGAGAGACCCATTAATTATTGCAGTGCCCCATTCTGTTGTTACTGGCCTGGTTTTGATTAGCCAGGCCGGGCAAGGGTCAAGGGAGGAGGTGGTGGCCCCACAGCAATCAAGCGCTTTGTCCACCAAATCTAGCATCACAGGCTGAAAGAAGTCAAGGATTACCGGGCAAGGCAGAGCGCTATACATCTCTGCTCGATCCACTGTATTTAAAAAAGGAGAGAGGTCACGGCGGATGGTCTCCACTTTGATTTTAAAAATGCTGCAAATTGGTCAGGTGAGATATTAGTGGGAGGCCTATCACCCAGACCAATTCCGGATAGATCACAAATTATGTGGAATAGCTCTGCCTGCTGATTAGAAGCTTCGCCTATCCGGTCAGCGAACTGAGATCGTCTTGCAGCCCTTACCTTAGCTAGGTAACGGTTAGTTGCGATCCTGACAGCTATCTCATTATAATCCGTCTGTTCCTCCCTCCAAATGCACTCTAGCTGTCTCCTGATTCGCTTCATTGCTCGTAGGTCCCGGTTATACCAGGACACTGGCCAAGCTCTACAACAGAGAGGGTGTTGAGGGGTGATCGTGTCTACAGCCCTAGTGGCAGCAGCAAACCAGCCGTCCACCAGAGTTTCGACAGGAGCGCCAGACAGAGCAGCTAGAATTCCTCTCATGATATCCTGAAATCTCAATGGATTCAGTAACCTTCGAGGGTGAACCATTAAAATAGGCCCATTCTCCCTGAGCGCGGGAGGGGGGGGAGTGCCATTGTGAGGTTACATTTTATTAGGTCCCTCTGCACCACTAGGGACCTAATAAATGTCCCTCTGCAGCACGAGACTTTTACGACAACTATGTTTTAGAGACAAAAAGAAATAGGTCTTCACTGCAAGTCTGAAAGGAGATTGAAATGTGCCAGATTCAAATGCACTTCCTTACTCAGCCACGAGAAGAAGTCAAAATGCATCTCCCACTCTGCCGACTACGAAACCAAATGGCATGACACAGCCACCATTTCCTGGATAACCGCCTTGCAGTCTACGCAAGTGGCTAAATGGAGGCCTTGGGTGTAAATCAAGCTCAAATCCAGGCTCAGCTGCTAAGGGCCATTCCTGGAAGATGAGGCGTAACAACCAGGAGGAGAGAGGGGGCAGCGGGGGGTGGGGGGGCTGCCAGATGGGGTTGAGCTCCTCCTCCCTCCATTCCATTCTTCTGGCCAAGCTAATGGAAGCTGGAGCCCATCAACACCAAGACGGCCACATGTGTACCACCAGAGTCTGTCCAAGTGGTGATCCTGGAAAAATCATTTATTATTATCAGCTTGCTCCTACTGTTTGGATTAGCTCTCTCTCTTCAACCAAAGCAAGCAAGTGGGGCGGGGGTGGGGGCACTAATGACTCATCCGGAATCACAACATGCCAGTCCAGGGCTTCCAAAGTCAGGAAATCAACAGATGTTGGCATATCAATTCCACAACAAAGGGCCTAATCTCTTAAACATCCCCTAAGGTAGTGGCTATCAAGATTTCTTGTGATGGGAGGGGCATTCCTCTACAGCTCAGCCCTACAAAAGAGTCATGGCTATTATTATGTAGTACAAATTTCTTAAAATTTCTGCTCACCAACCACTAACCCTAAATTCACTATAATGCAGGGTAGTGGGGGAGGGGGAAATCCTGTGGGGAAGTTCACTATTAGGTCCTGCTGCTAATGTCTCTTCCAGAGAGAAGGCAGCCTCTGTCTGCTCCCTTAGGCCCCAATGGCCATCTCCCTCCCTCACAAATCCTCTAGGCCCTCAGTCACCCAGGCATGACAGGGATCCATCAACCCAACCCTGTTGTTCGCCCATGCTTTCAAGATCTCCGTACCAAGGCAATGAACCCACTACAAGAGCAGATGAATGGCTCACCTAGGTCAGAGTCCTTTAGTCCTTTCCTTCACTGAGAAAGCTTACTTAAAAGAGACCTTTGGGTAAGTGCGGGCAGTATATAAATTAAATAAATAAATAAATAAAACAACACCTTATTTCAGCAATGCTACCACATCAAATATTTATTTATTGAAAATAAATAAAACAACACCTTATTTCAGCACCGCTACCACATCAAATATTTATTTATTTATTGAATTTATGCCCTGCACCATCTGGCAACCAGGCCACTCTGGTCGGCTAACAACAATATGAGCAACAATATTAAAATAAATTAACACATAGCCAAATAGGGTAAATTAAAACAGATGGCAATGAAGGTGGTAAAAAGAGTGACAAAGAGGAAGGCAAAAGGGACATAGCCAAATAGGGTAAATTAAAACAGATGGCAATGAAGGTGGTAAAAAGGGTGACAAAGAGGATGGCAAAAGGGAGGCTGACATCTTAATGCTCCAGGAAAGCCTGGCCAAGTCTTCAGTGCTCGTTTGAACCCATCCAGCGAGGGTGCCAGGCAGATCTCAATGGACAGGTTGTTCCATTGGCAGGGAGGGACTGCTGAGAAGGCCCCATTTCTTATTCTTTCCCTTCAGTGCCTCTTTCGGGGCCAAAGCCCTCAACCGCCCTGCCTGTGAAGAAGCGGTATTACGGATAGATCTGGTTTTCTGATAGACACCGAGGTCCTAAACCGTTTAGGGCTTTAAATGTTATCATCATAACCTTGAAGTCAATGGGGAAACAAACCAGTAGCCATGAAGGGTGGCCAGAGTGGGGGAGATGTGCAAGATTTTTTTCACCCCAGTTATTAATCTGGCCACTGAATTTTGGACCAGTCGAAGTCTCCACATCAGCTTCAAGGGTAGCCCCACGTAGAGAGCACTGCAGTAGTCTATTCTTGAGATGACAAGGGTATGAAGCATCGTCGTGAGTGCCCCTATGTCTAGATAGGGATGCAGCTGAGCGATCCTCCGAAAATGGACATGAGCTGCCCAGATCACAGATGCCACCTGGTTTTCCACAGTGAGATCTGGATCGAGGCAATGCCCAAGCTGCGAACCTCACTCTTTGTGAGAAGAGTCACTCCCCCAAAACAGAGGGAGTTTCCCAACCCACTGACTCCAGGACCGTCCACACATTTCCACACATTCAACCTCACTTCTTAGTTGCAGATCCCATCCTTCCTCCAGACAGTTCACTACACAGCTCTAATCCAGCACTAAATGCTAAGCCATACTGCTTCTCTTTTGTAATGGCTGACACTATTCTACAGTGAGTGACCTACTCCAGTGGATATTACATTTCCCCATCTTTCCTTAAATGAGTTTAAGAAAGCATTGCTGGCAATTTCCTCCCCCTCTTGATTGTTCTCATAACAACTCTGCCAGATAGGTCAGTGAGAACTTGATCCTGAAGAAGCCCAGCAAAGCATTGCTGGCAATTTCCTCCCCCTCTCGATTGTTCTCATAACAACTGTGCCAGATAGGTCATCTTGAGATGCAGAGAAAAGCAGAGAGGGGAAAGAGAAACATCCAAAGGTCTTGCGGCAAATTCCATGCCAGAGTGAGAACTTGATCCTGAAGAAGCCCAGTTGCATATCTCTAACTGCTATGCCACACTGCCACTCCTTTGGCACACACTGCTCTATCTTCTCTGACATCCATCTGTTCCACTTGGATCCCCCTTTCCCACCGCTGAACTTGAGATACTTTATTTACTTATTTACTGTTTCAGTTTGTATATCACATCATAATGTAAAAACACTCTGTCCATAGTTTACAAAATACTAAAAACATGTATCTAAACACAACAAATACCTCGAAATTGCTACCTAAGCCCCTACCTAAACAAGGGGGCCCTAATCCCAAAAGGGGCCACAACCAGCTGGAGAAGCAGGCCAAGCAGAGCGCACAGGGCCCTGCCAAAAGAAAAAAAGAAGGAATTCCTGTGGCTGCCTGGAGCTGGAGGCCTCCTTTCCTGAGTCCCAGAGGCCAACGTCCCGGCTCCTCTCGAGGTGCCCTTGCCAGCCAGCCAGCCAAGCCGCGGGGAAGTTTTATAACGTGGGCCTCGCCAGTTTGAGGGGCTTCTATTGCACCGCCCGAGAGAGAGGCTGACTCTCCCTCTCCGAGATGCTCCATGCAAAGAAAGCCGGGGGGAAGGGACAGAGGGAAGTCATGCCTTCCGCCTCGGCCTCCCCACCCCTTCCGTGACCGGATCCTCTTCCACGCCACACGCGCCTCGGCCACGGGTTTCCCCTCCCGCTTCCCCACCGCCACCCCGGCGAGGTCGACCCAGCCGAGGGCGTGTCGGTGGCTGGATTCCCCACCACCACCACCACCATCTTTCCCGGCCGGTCGAAGCTCGGGAGCCTTTCCCTCCACCGCCACACACACACATACATATATCCCAGGGCCCACACGAGGCTCTTAAGAAGGAGAAAGGGGAAAAGATCCGAGGGAAGAGAAGAGAAGAGGGCGGGCGGAGAACAACAAAGGGCCCCAGAGGGAGGGAAAGAAGCCGCCCCGCTTGGAAGGAGAAAAGGAGGCTGAGGGGGTTAAGGGAGGCCGCCCTCTCTCCGCCGCGGCCCTAAAGGAAACGGGAGCCCTGCGGCCTTCGCCCGCCCTGAGGGGAAACGAGGCTCCCCTTCTTCGGGGTCCTGCTCCCTCCCTCCCTCCCTCCTTCTCGACCGGACCGACCCTTTCCGAGGGATACTCGTTGGAGCGGAAGACCTCCTGCGTGTGAGCGATGACGAAGCGCTCCTCCGGCGGGTCTCCGGGCGGCGGAGGCGGCTTGGCCAGCGGGAAGGGCTTGCGGCCCAGCAGCGGCGCCATCCTCCGCCTCGACTCCGCCGCGGGCCCGACCCAGAGAAACAACCGCTGCCGCCAGAGGGGAAATGGCGGGAGAGCCGAAGAAGAGCGGCAGCCTCGGCCTCTTCTTCTTCGCCGTCGCCTCCGTCGCCGCCGCCTCACCGAAGCCGGCCGGGCCTCCCGCGCGCGCGCAAACCACCACAACAAAAAGCGACTGGCGGTGGGCGGGTCCGTTCGGCGCCTGACGCCTGCCCGTTGCGCCACGCGATTGGCTCGCGTCGGAAGGCCGTCCCCGCTCACTGGCTGAGGGGCGCGTCGCTCTGCTGCCAAGGCGCGGCGCAGCCAGCGGGTGCTCAAGCTTGGTTGCAGCCGCGGGCGGAGGGAGGGAAGGTCGCGTTATGTAAGCGCAAGAAAACAGCGCGAGCTACCCCGGCGCCATTTTGTCCCGTCGCCGTTATTAAGTCCCCTAGCGCTCGGCGGCCAATGGAAACGCGACGTATCATCCGGGAACGTGAGATAGAAAAAAAAGGAGGCGGGAAAAAGGGAGAAAAAAAAGAAGTCTGCTTCCCGGCTTTTGTCTGGGCGAGCGATGCGCGGCCTCGCCTTAAAGGGCCAGCGTCCCTAAAGTAGAACCCTGGAGAAACCTGGGAAATAAGCGAAGGGGGATGTTGAGAGAAATGTACCCTGGAAGGAGCTTACTAGGCCAGTCTGCAGCACTACCACCAGCCCAAGCTCAGGGAATTCTAGAACTTGGTTTCATTGTTGGGCCTGAGAGCTAAAGTGTTCCCTTGACCATGTACAGAGTGCCACTGTGAGACAGTTGCAGCAGAATGTTTGAATCAATACCCGGCAGTTTACAGTCCAAAAAAAGGCAATACAATTAAAATCATCAATAAAAAGACTGAAACAAGGCAAAAACAGGGAAATTAAATAATGGCAGGAGGGGAGGACTGCCTAAAGAGCCAGGTCTTCAGTTTACTCTTAAAAACTCCCAAGTGAGGGAGCCATGCAGATCTCAGAAGGGAGGATGTTCCAAAGGCAAGGAGGAGCCACCACTGAGAAGGCTTCTGACACGAGTAGAAATATTTATTTATTAGATTTCTATCCCGCCCATCTAGACTAAAGGTCTACTCTGGGCAGCTTACAAATTTAAAAACAATAAAACCAATAAGCATATATTATAAATCCAAGATGGCAAAAGTATAAGAAATTAAGATACTGTATGGCAGGAGGGAAAGCCTGCCTAAATAGCTACAGTGAAAACACCCAAAGAGGGAGCCAGGCAGATCTCCACTGGCAAGTTGTTTCAAAGTTGAGGGGTCACTGCCAGGAAGGCCCAGTTCCTCGTTCTTCCGGACCTCCCTCGGAGTTAGGCCGCCCAGCCTGGCTGGAACGAGTGACTCTGGCAGAACTGGGTGGAAGAAGGTGCCTTGACAGGTATTGAGGTCCTAAACCTTAGGGCTTTATATGTAATCATTAGCACCTTGAAACTGATGTGGAATCCAACAGGTAACCAGTGTAAGGCGACCAGAGTGGGGGAAATATGGGCACTGCAGCATAAGGAAAAAGTGGTTGTGTAATATGTATGGTAATTATATTTTACTGTGTGTTAGGTTTATGTTGTTGGGTCGTTTAATAAATTTATTTTTAAAAAGATGAAAGAAAAGCCCATGTGCTAGACTGCAGATTGAAGGGCAAAGGCAGAATGAGGGAACAAGACGATAGGTTAGGAGGTCTTGAGTACCAGTCAAATGTTTCCACCAACACAAAGAGAAAGTCTCGATGTAGAGCCCTGACATCCTGCTGGTTTTATTTATTTTACTTTATTGCTTAAGTTGTTCTTCCCTTTCTACACCCTGTACCTCTATAAGTGATGCCCCCTGCACGTGTGTGTGTGCCTTAGTCAACCCGGTGCCAGCTAGTTCCAAATTTAATCCTCTGTTGGGTGCTTTTAAAGTTCAACGGCTTCTCCCTCTCAGAGAGAGCCAGATGCCAGCTCTCCCTGTAATTCAGCCCCCCCATTTGCTCTCCTCCCTTCCAGGAAGGGGGCCGATCCAGCAGCCGTTCCTCCCATTTGTCCCTCTC